TGTGTGTGTGTGTGTGTGTGTGTGTGTGTGTGTGTGTGTGTGTGTGTTTTCTTGTAGGGCGATGGGCATGCTTTAATATTGGCTGTGGGGATGGCTGCATGTGTCTGTGGATGCACACATGAAAAACCTTTGAATTGCACCCTTGAAGAAGAGGAAGAAGAATGAGGAGGAGGAGGAAGAGGAGGAGGAGCAGGAGACGTGTCAGAACAGACTGTGATCCGGGGTTTCGTCACAGCCGCCTTTTCAGCCGTTGATCACCAGGCCTTTCTGCGGAGGCACCCTGGGGTGCACTCAGCCCGCTGGAGGACCGGGTAAGCTGCCCCCGTGATTTCCAAGACTACCGCTCCCTGCAGGAGCAGAGAGCCTCCTCCTTCTCCTTCAGAGCGGCTGGTGGTTTCGAATTGCTGACCTTATGGTTAGCAGCCCAGTGCGTAACCACGGCACCCCTAATTCTACCTGCGTCTTTCTAAAGAGCGAGACCCACCCGCCCCTCGGCCCAGATGCACCCCCTGCAGCGCTCTGGACCCCTGGCCCTGGCCCCGGCTGCTCTCTGGCTGCGGATTGGCCCTTTCTGTTTGTGTCTGGTGCCTGGGTGTAGGAGTCCTCCTCAGAGTGGACAGGGTGCTGGGCACAGTGAGGGAGACCGGGTGGCTTTGCTCCCAGCAATCCCAAGCTCATTCCCTTCTGGCTGCTGCCCAGGGAGCCCCTGCTTCCTCCTGCCCCAGGTGCCCAAACTGTTTTCCTATGGAAAGCGGCCTTTTCAGCACATTGGAACGCGAGCAAGGAAAACTCCTCTGGGGGAGGGGAAGCAGTGGGACTTACACTCCAGAAAACAGCCTCACCTAAAGGCGCTCTCTCCGGCTGGACCCTGGTCCTCTCTCACAGGCGGCTCCAGTGCTCCCTTGGACACCTCCGTCTAGTCCGCTGGCCAATGGCTGTTTTCTCTTGCCCGGCCAGCCGTCCTTTGGATCATTGGGCGCCGTATGGCCCTTGGGTTTTCAGAACAGTATTTTGCTCTGGGTTGCCACGAGGCCCACCCTGCATCTGTCCGGTGTCCCACTCGGCTGACTAGCTGCACCCTTCTATTGGGATCCATAAGGGTGACCTGGCTTGGGTTCTGAGCCCTCAGTGGCCAGGCCTCTCTTCCTCGCCCATGCAGTGCGCCTCCTCTGAATCCCATAGTGCAGAAGGGACCCAGGGAAGCCCCTGGTTCTGCCAGACCCCCGCCCCCCGAGGACAGGTTCCAGCAGAGCCCCCAGACTGGCCGAGTGCAGGGGACGGGCCTGGGGATCCGTCTGCTTGGGCCTCACCAGAGGGTCTGTCTGATGCAGGGAGGAAAGAGGGGCACCCGAGGTGGGAGGCACTCAACGTGCAGTGGCCGCCGCTGTGGACCCGCGCGTGTGCGCCGTTGTGACGATGGCGCAGGGCCGGTCGGGCTCTGTTCTGTGGAAAGTGGCACCGTGAGTCAGAGCTGACTCGATGACAGTCGAGGGTCAACAGGACTTTCAGCAAAGGTTCCAAAGGGCGTGCCAGGTCGGGGTGGTGGTGGGGGGATGTGACATCCAGGAAGCCCCGGGGGACGAGGGACCCCTCTGGCGGGGAGGATGAGCAGGGTTTTTCCAGATGGACGGGGCTGGAAATTGTGCTGCAGGACGGAGAACCAGGTTGGGAGGAAGCGGTGGCGTGAGTCCTGGCCAGGGCTTTCCGTGGCGGGCAGGTTTCGTGAGCCACCAGATGGCGAGGGACCAGGAAGAAAGGCCTGGACACGTGTGTGCTCACATCAGTCCACGGAAAGCCTCTGGCTCACCACAGACCCACGAAGCAGTGAACGGAGGCACGTACCCAGACTTAAAATTCAGGCAGGGGACACGGTTTGGAAGAGAGTGAGGCCGAGGAGCCGGGGCCCTGCGTTTAGAGCGCATGCTCAGCCAGGTTGTCTAGAGAAACAAAACCAGCGACAGTCATCGCTATCTAAGGAAGAACTTTGTATCAGGGAGAAAGTCTCTGTGAGCAAGGGCAGCCCGGCCAGTCCAGGTCAAGTCCATGGGTCTGATGCTCGCGGGGCCCTGGTCAGACACAGGTAGTGAGGCAGAAAGGTGAGGTGGGATGCCAAGAGCTCATAAGCCGGCGGGTGCAGAGTCACCTGGTTTCAAGGTTGATGGAAACAGGGCATTGTGCCGGCAGCTCCCAGGTTGACTCCCTGGGTCAGTGAAGGCTGACACAGTCCCACAGGAAGCAGAGAGGTGGAAGGGCTGAGAGAGGGGAATGGGCTCCGCTTGCTGTCTGTCGTATACAAAAGGCCCCACCTCCAAGTTCATGCCATCAGGCTACCACCTGATTGACAGGGTCGACTCCACCCGTACCTCCACTTAGGTACCGTCCAGCTGACATGACCCCTCACCCCTGCACAGCAGGACGCTGGGTTTATAACGTAGGCAGCACGTTGCCTGACAATGTCCGCTCTCTAGCCTCAGGGCCGG